AGCTTGCATTGAGCAGAGATTGCACCACTGCACTCCAGACTGGGCAATAGAGTGAGACTCTGTTTCAAAAAAAAAAAAAGAAAAAGAAAAAAGAAATTTGCTTAGTTTGTCTTGGTAAGAAGTGGCAGAAATGAGATTTTTTTACTTTAGTTTTCTGATTTCAAATTCAATGCCTTTCAGTTATACTATGACTCCAGAAAGACAAATGGGTTAAAATGATGACATAGCTTTGAGTCATAGTAAATGAGAGAATGTTAGCACCAGAGACTAAGTGATATTGGAGAAGAGAGTTGTTGGAATCTAAGAGCAGATTGTAGTGATGACTTGAGTTCCTGATATTTTAAAATCTGAAGTGATGGTGTAGGGAGAATGCAAGTGAAAATATTCACTGGCTATCTGGCAACAAGAATTGGAGTTCAGAGGGAGGTCAGAACTGGAAAGGTACTGCCGTTGACAGCAGGTGTTAGCTATGGTCATGGGGCTGGGATGGAGATAAACATTAAGAAAAGACAGTAGAAATAAGGGCTAAATTCTAAGAAAATGCTCATAGAAAAGAGTGGACTGGTGAAAGAGGAACCAAAAAAGATGATAAAGAAACTGGACTCAAGGCTGGGCATGGTGGCTCACGGCTGTAGTCCCAGCACTTTGGTAGGCCAAGGCGGGAGGATCACTTGAGCCCACAAGTTTGAGACCAGGCTGGGCAACATGGCAAAACTCTGTCTCTACAGAAAATACAAAAACTAACTGGGCGTGGTGGTGGGCGGCTGTAGTCCCAGCTACTCAGGAGGCTGAGGTGGGAGCATCACCTGCACCTAGCTAATCAAGGCTGCAGTGAACTGTGACGATGCCACTGCACTCCAACCTGGGTGACAGAGTGAGGCTCTGTCTCAGAAGCAACCAAAAAAGAAACAAAGGAAGAAAGGAGGACGGGAAGGGAAGGGAAGGGAAGGGAAGGGAAGGGAAGGGAAGGGAAGGGAAGGGAAGGGAAAGGAGGGGAGAGGGAGGGGGAGGGAGGAGGGAGGGGAGGAGGGGAGGAAGGAAAGAGAAGAGAAGCAAAGAAGAAGAAAGAAAAGAAAGAGAAGAAAGAAGAGCCAGAAAGGAAAGAAGGAAGGAAGGAAGGAAGGGAGGAAGAGCGAGAGGAAAGAAACAAAGGAAGAAAGAAGAAAGAAAGAAAGGAAGGAAGGAGGAAGGAAGGAAGGAAGGAAGGAAGGAAGGAGGGAAGGAAGGAAGGAAGGAAGGAAGGAAGGAAGGAAGGAAGGAAGGAAAGAAGCAGCGAGCCCACAGGACACCATGTTATTAAAGAAGTCAGTTGAACAGGAGTTTGAGAAGGCAGTTCTTCAAAAATTTGTTTATTGGAGTCTAAGGAAGAATTTCACTATTTCCTTTTCCATGTATTGCCCTAATCTGTACAGTTGACTACGTAAAATACTTGCATCTTATTTATGGTGTTTGTAGTTATTCCTAAAATCTTAATTAGTCATGAGAATAAAATTTCAAATTCTGTTTAGGCAAAAGCCTTAAGGTTTCATTTCAACCCCCAACCTTCCAGTAGCTTCTATTTTGACCTGTACACCCCAAATTTTACTTATCTGTAGCCAATGTTCCCGTTTTTCTCTACTGAGTCCACATATTCTTGTTTGACCAAATAACAGGAACAAACAATTCCTTTCATAATGGATGTACCCTAAGGTGTCAGGCTTCTCAGAATCCTATCTGAAAATTAATTCCACTGAACCATGGTGCAACAGGATTTTAGTTAACACACTTGTTATTTATTGGCTACAGATGCTAGGGATTTGACAAAATATGCTGTGCCTCCAGGCCAGAAAAGTACAAATAGTACTCAATTCTGAGCAGGGAAGAAGAGGAAGGGAGAGAGTTAGAATACAACTATTAATGCATGTGGAGGTACCAGATCAGCTGACCACATCAGCGAAAGTTTACTTAACTAATAATGATATACCATTAATGCCATGTCCCTGTTAAAGAAAAAAAATATTCAATGACACTTGTTACAGCATGGTAAAGAAGACTATTCAGGACCATTGAGACAGAGGGGCCACTACAATGAAGGCTTGCAGTAGGGTAGGGAGATGGGGCTCCACTTTAAATACAGCAGAGGAAAACGGGAATTTATAGCGAAGAAACAGGATATGGCACTCTAGTTAAATCAACCTAACAGGATTATTACTAAAGACAGGCCAAGATGATTAGATATCACCTGGAGGACAGTGGAGGATAGGGGACCCTTGGGTGATCACTTGTCAGTGGGGAGGGAGGTTATTGCCAAACTGATTCCGCTGGCTTCTTTGATAAACTGGAATTTACAAAGAAATACACACATGGTCTTAGGAGAAGTCTCAGGAACCTGACTAAAGTTTGGCCAAGGAAAAAATCTTTGTCATTCCCCAATATTTTTAAGGTAAAAGACTATTAATACTAATAAGGATTAATATTGTTTACACATTTATAATATGCAAAGCATTGAATTAAATACATTCTATAGATTAACTCATTTTGATTATCATAAGGACTCAATGATGTAGGTATAATTTTCATTCTATTACTTGCTTTTGGACAGATGAGGTTCTGACTACAACTTGGAAAAGCTGGGTATCTGGGCTCATTTCTTTACCAAAATCCTGGCCTCTAAGCATCACTGTGCAGTAGAACTTTCTATGATGAAGAAAATGTTTTGAGTGCTGTCCAGTATGGTAGACATTAGCCACATCTTGGAATGAAGCACTTAAAAGGTGATTAGTGCAACAGACTAGTAGTAAAAAAGAAAACAGAAAAATACACGCACAAGAAACCTCAGTTTTAATTATGATTATAATTAATTAACTAAAATGTAAATAGCCACATTTTATAGCCGTGTTGGGACTGTGCAAATATAGCACATTTCCATCACTGCAGAAAGTTCTGTTGGACAGTGCTATTTGGAAGAAATGTTGCTCCTTCCCTTTTCTCCTAGGTTGGATTCTAGGGTTCCACCTTTGCTTTGCTTTCCTCCTGCACAGTGATAGCAGTCCAACTTTCTCCACCCCCAACCCTCCAGCCTCAGTGAAAGAAGATTGCTTTGCTTCGTGCATCTCCCTTTCCTCCACTTCCATGCTGCCTACCCCCACGTCAGCAGCTATATCAAGTCTTGAGTGCGGAACCCCAAAGGGGTAGGCACACAGAAGTGACCTGTCTATATCCGGCACTGCCTATACGCATTGCACTCACCATCACCATCATCAACCCACAATTACTGAACTCTTAAAGGATGAAAATCATCCTGCCAGAGATTGAATCAGATACACGAAATCTGAACATCTAATGAAACAACAACATCAGTGACACAGTATTGAACAGAATAAACACAGTATTTGCTTTGGTCTTTGCTAGAGCCCCTGTAAGTGGTGACTTAGATGAAAGGAAGACTTGTGCGGTGTCCTAGTCTCCAAGACTTTAAAAACTGTTGTCCTACATTATTTAAATGGAAAAGGAGACTTATTTGCTACCCAAAGCAATGTTTAACTGAAAGATGCATTTTTCTGAAACTCAAAGGTATTCAAGTCTTTAACCTAAAGACCTTCACAGCTGAGAGTTCAGGGCTCAGGGCAGCCTCTATGTTTATAGGTTCATTTTCAATGCTAATGAATTCTTTTACAAGCTGTATTTGTTCCTTCTTTTGTGTGTTTTAAACATTTATTCACAAGCATCACTTAGATTTAACCTAGGGTTTTTCTTTGCAAGTGAAAATAGAACTTAAATTCAGATTTATAGTTAAAGGGCAGGAAACTGAGAGGAGGTGGAGACTAAAAATAGCCAGAGGGTAAAATGAGAAAGGACTTTACTAGACTACTTTAAAAAAAACACACACACACACACACAGTGGCTCATGCCTGTAATCCCAGTGCTTGGGGAGGCTGAGGCAGGAGGATCCCTTGGGCCTAGGAGTTCGAGACTGCAATGAGCTATGATCTCACCACAGAACTCTAGCCTGAGCGACATAGTGAAACCCCTTCTTTAAAACACAAACAAAGTGAGACTCCTTCACTGAAAAAACCAAATACCTGTGGTGCTGTATGGCACATGCTCCCTACTGTTGACCAGTAACTTTGTCGGGCAGATCACGAGGAGTTCGAGATCAGTCTGGCCAACAAGGTGAAATCTCATCTCTACTAAAGATACAAAAAATTAGTCGGGTGTGGTGGCGCGCGACCGTAATCCCAGCTACTCGGGAGGCTGAGGCAGGAGAATCGTTTGAACCAGGGAGGTGGAGGTTGCAGTGAGCCAGGATCGCACCACTGCACTCCAGCTTGGGCGACAGAGGGAGACTCCTTCTCAAAAAAGAAAAAAAATATTCCAAAAAGTCTAATTCATTTTGAAATTTTGACACACAGCGAAATCACCAGGGAATCTTGCAAAAAAATGCAGATTCTGATCAGAGGTTGGGCCTGAGATTCCGCATGTTTAGCAAGCACCCAGGTGATGACCTCGCTGTTGGTCTACGGGCCACTCTTGGAGAAGCGAGGCCGTAGGCTCCAAGATATTGGAACCAGATCTTGTCAGTTCAGAGGGCTTACTTTTGACAAGGAGAGGACTTTACAGAAAGTTCGCCTGGAACCTGTCCTATGTCGGGTACGTCCTGGCAGCTCCCTTTTCAGGCTTTGAGTCAACGTTTGGGGAATTGTATTACACCTCACTCATTCCATCCTCAGCAACAACACCAAGTGGGCGCTATTTATCCTTCGTTTTACAGGGAAAAGTGGGGCTCAGAGAGTTAAGTTGCCCAAGGTTAGGAGATTTTCAGATGCGTTGAACCCAGGTCTTTTTGACTCCAAGAGATAACGCTTTTCACTAGCATTCTGGAGCTTCAGTTTCCTGTGCTGTGAAATGGGAAGGATTGGCTAGCAGGGTCCAGATCCCTGCCAGATACACCTAAAGGAGGCCTTGTATTTTTTCTCGAGATCTTGCTCTTTGACCCTGCGAGGAAAAGTTCTTTTTGGGAACACCGAGTTCCCCTCGGCTTGCCGAGGTCAGGGGTCATGGCTCTTCCCGGGGAGGGTCCGGCAGGCCTAGAGCGGTCTGGCTGGTGACACAGAAAGCCAGTGCATTACATAACCGCGAGACGTTCCTCTCCGCTGCGCCCCTCGCCCCTAGTCAAGCCGCAGCACTTAGACCGGATCCCCGCGCTAAATCCTCTTCGCCCGCCAGGCCCACTGCCCCGCCGAGCTGGCGGGGCTGAATGAGCCGGTGCATTTCAAAGGCCGAGCACTGGGATTTTCCGCGCCACGCTTCCCTCCCCCGGCGTTGCCAGCTGGGCCCCCTGCCCCAGCCTCGCCGGCGCCTCCGCCCAGTCCGCTCCCCGCCCCACCGAAGCGCGGATCTCGCCGCCTGGGGCCCGGGAAGGGGCCACCGCGCAGGGACGCGGCTCGGCGGGTGCGCCCCGGGGGCATGTCGGCGCACTACTGCCGGGGCTGCAGTGGTCCCGGCGAGGTGAGGAGGCGGCGGGGCCGGGCTGGGGGCGGGTGTGGCAGGAGGGAGGGCGGGCGGGGCATGGGGGTGGTCTGTGCGCTCTGGGCGGGCTGCGGAGCGCTGGAGCGCTGGAGCGCTGGAGCGCTGGGCTGTTCCGGGCTCAGTCTCGCCGGCGGCCCCGGCTCTCAGATCCCCAGCGACCGTGTCAAGAAGCTTCCTCGGCTCCTCCTCTTCCCTCTCCCTGACTCGGTTGTGCAGAGGGCGCGGTGGCTCAGGTGACACGGGCATCCCTCAAGGAAGGGCGGCGGGACGGCGGGGCGCTGGGGCTGCCCTTGAAGCTGGAGGAGGACGGGGACGCTCCATTCTCCGCTGCCCTAGCGCCCATCCCGCGCCGGGAGCCTGGGACCCTAACTTGGGTGCGTCGGCGCGCAGCTTGGGTTGGGAGGGAGACACGTGCCCACTTGCCCTCTCTGGGTTGGGTCTGCGCTGCGTCCGAGTTTTTGGGCAGGTGGCTGGAGAACGAGCAGTTTTGATCTCCATCTCTTGTGGTTTTCAAATGCAGACTTCTCGGTGGAATAGAGACCGTCTTTCTTCTGGATTTCATTCTGGATTTTATGTTTATAGTACATTTTTAAAATATCTCCCCTGTTCCCCACCTCAGACAATAATATTTATTTCCCCTGTGTTTTATATTAAAAACACACTGACTTTCAGTGGATTGAACTCAATTTCTCAGTTGCTTCTTGTCCACAAAGAAACCAGTGATACCTGTATTGTGGACTCGGGAAACCGTTCCTAACAAAATTTGAAGCACAATTCCAGTAAGTCCTGGGGCTATTTGGTTAGTCTTTTGTTTTTCACACATCAGCATTCTAAACCTCTCATACTATTTATTTATTTAGTGACAAGGTCTCGCTCTGTCGCCCGGGCTGAAGTGCAGTGGTGCGATCTCAGCTCATTGCAACCTCCGCCTCCCCGGCTCCAACGATCCTCCCTCCCCAGCCTCTGGAGTAGCTGGGACTAAAGGTGCGCGCCACCACTCCCGGCTAATTTTTGTTTTTTTTTTTTTTGCAGATACAGAGTTTCGCCATGTCGCCCGGTTTGCTCTCGAGCTCCTGGGCTCAAGTGATCTGCCCGCTTTAGCCTCCCAAAGTGATGGGATTACAGGCGTCAGCCACCGTGCCTGGCCATAATTTTTTAAAATGTCGAGTCAGACGGGTCCTGCCAGGACACTGGTTAAACACTCTCATTTTGAAGAGCCTCTAATTAGTTCATGCTACCTGTTTCTTTGCTCAGAGCTAGGCACTCCCACGGCGCCACCAGCTTAGCCCAGGGGGAAAATCTTCCAGCCTTTCAAATTCAGAAACACATTCACTCCACAGGTGTCCAAGCTCACTAACATTTAAAATCATCAGCTAGCTGCCCTTGCATACTTTGTCGCTCCCCCTCCATAAATGTCATGCCAAACTATGGCTAATGGTGTTTGACATCCCCCACACCCCCGCGCCCCCAAGGTGACCGGATGTTTGTTGAAGAAATGAAGGATGTAAAAGAGTAGTGGTAGTAATTAGGTGAACTGGATTTGGTCACTTATAATTACAGGGTTTAGAGAAACTTTGAAACTGAAAGGCTTTGGAGACCATCTACTAAATTCAAACCCTTCACCTTACAGCCCCGGAAGCTCAGATCCAGGTTGGCAAGGATTGGCTGAATTCATATTGTTAACTGGTGATGAAATCAACACTAGAATCCAGATCTTCTCATTCCAACCTAACTCAGTTTTCCAAGACATATTGCCTCTAGGCGTTTTGAGCAAAAATAATATGACTAGCATCACCTAATCATATCATTTTCCTGTTCTTATTTTTTATGTTTGTTTTTTTAACTGATGGGATTCTGAAATAGATGAGAAGTTGATTTAATCAAATTGCTTTTGTGGCACAATTTTTAAAGATACAAACCTTTAATTTTAAGTGATATTTTAAATTATTTATATTATGGATATGCAGATATATCTCAGGTAAATGCCCAGAAGAAGAAAATTAGTCCAAATAGATGGGAGTAAGTCTACTCCCATCTTTCCTTGGAGTCTTTTCTGATTCTCAGCACCCTCTATGGTAATTATTGATCAGAAGTAAAAACATGACTTATAGTGTTGAAGTGGTTTATATGAGGACTGTTTGTTTGTTGTGATTAATACTATGACCAAAACAAAGCTAAGAAAGGAATTTCAAACTGACTTATTTAACATTGCGTTGCACTGCATATTTTTCAATTTATTTCAATTTAGCAGATATTTATTGAGTGCCTGCTGTATGCCTAGTGCTGTTCTGGGCATTTGGGATGTGTCAATGAACAAAACAAAGAACTTTGATCCTATGGAGATCAAGTTACAATTTATTCATTAGAATTTTTCCAGGATTTCTTAGACAGATACAAGAGAATTTCAGTTTTACCTAAGCAGGAAAATAAACATAAGTGATCCAAACTATCTTCCTTCCAATCCTACGATTCTAAGAATCTTATAATCATGGAAAAACAAAAACAAAAACGAAACAACAACAACAAAAAACAAAATCAGGTGAAGTTACTTTGACTTTTATGAGCTGACATTTTACTGTAAGTGAATTGCAGTTCCCACATTTGGTTATTTAATATATGTTCATTTGGAGTCAATGAAATTACATTTCCTTTATTGCAGGGACATCACCGTGGTGACTAAACTTGAAGCACGGGATGATTTGTTTTCTTAAGAGTGTTAATGGTACTGTGTTAGTATTGGAGACTAATTAAATCAGTTTATAAGATGTAGCTTTTTATTTATTTATGAAGATGGTGTTCTGTTGTTGTTTTGTCTCACTTTACATTTTGTCCCCCACTTTCCTCCACGTTTATAGACTGCACAGTGTTACAACTTATTGGTAAATCCGTTTCCACAATAGTTTTTCTTTTTAATCAGACATTCCAGTTTTAAGCATTTTCTAATTCTCTCAATTGCTTTTTCTTCAAAACAGCATGGTTTGCAAGCTCAGGCATGTTTATTGTTTTTAACAAAGGCTTATCAAAATGAACTTGGCAGTTTTTCAGTCGTATACAGCCAAAGAAAAGTATTCAGTGCTGCTTTTGGGGTTGTTTATGCATTCCTCACCTAACCAGTTGCTTTGCTTTTAAAAATTGCCAATTTGGAAGCTAATTTCTTATGAGTACCTTTCCAGTGTATATAAGAAGTCACCCCTTGAAATGGTATAATAATTTAATTGTTGAAAACTAAATACACAGTTGAAGATGTTGGGGGATTTTGAACAGAAAGATTCTCTCTCTGATAATATTTTTAATGTGCTCTACATCAAAGGACATCAGAAAGTGTCATTATCTAACAATGTCCTGTTTGAAGGTGGTGTCTGTTGAACATCTGGAGAAGAGTCACAATTTCTGATGCATGCTAGGCGCATGGAATAGCTGATTTTTTTTTTCTTCATTCACCCACCACTGTGCCCCATCACATACACATCCTTCCTTCATTTACCGCACACTGACGAGTAGGGGGAATTGCTGTAGCCAGGTAAGACGTTGCATGAAATTAATTAATTATTTAATTCATGTGCTCATTCATTTATTAATTTAATGAATATTTACTGAACTTCTACTCCTTATTAAAAGATTTGTGTAAGGATTTGTGTGAAGATTGTGTTTTGAGCATCTCTTTTCTGGTGCTGGTGACAGCAGGACGTGTAAAGACACAGAACATGCCTGTGATGCAGCTTACATCCTGGTATGGAAGAGAGGACATTGTATGGCTGGCTGTCATACCAATTCTAACTACCGTAAGAGATGCATAAGTACTTGGGGAATTAAACAGAAGAAGAGAGAGCAGGCAGGCACTGTGAAGATTTGAGGGTTAGGGAAGACTTTGTAGAGGAGGGCACATTGGAGTTGCTTCTTGAAAGATAGGAAAGCATGGTAAAGCTTTTATAGAGGCAGAGGATATACCTGTCTTTACGGGAGCACATCCTTGCCTGTTTTTGAAGACACTAGAAAACTTCCTCTAGGGAACAAGTTGAGGCTGTGTTAGGTTGTATAATAGACACTTATCACCTCTCTGCCCCTCTGCATGCATCTGACTCTGTTCTGCCTAATGAAATACTGCCCAACACTGAAACAACTCATTGGGTTAACCAATGCTCTCCTTCTCTGAAACACATCCTGGTTGTGGCTCAGACACAGAGACCGCTGTGGGAAATAGCTGTCATCTTAATAAATTTGTATACTTGGCTGTTACTAGGTCAGGTGCATGCTTACAGTCATGTTTGGTTACAGTCCAGTTTATGCTAGTAGTACTTTGCTATCGTATTATTATTTTTTCTTTCAGACAGAGTCTTGCCCTGAAATGCAGGCTGGAGTGCAGTGGTGCTATTTCGACTCCCTGCAACATCCGCCTCCCTGGTTCACGCGATTTTCCCACCTCAGCCTCTTGAGTAGCTGGGATTACAGGCATCTACCACCATGCCTGGCTAATTTTTGTACTTTTTTTTTTTTTTTTTTTTTTTTGAGACGGAGTCTGACTCTGTCGCCCAGGCTGGAGTGCCGTGGCCGGATCTCTCCGCTCACTGCAAGCTCTGCCTCCCGGGTTTTCGCCATTCTCCTGCCTTAGCCTCCCGAGTAGCTGGGACTATAGGCGCCTGCCACCTCACCCGGCTAGTTTTTTGTATTTTTTTAGTAGAGACGGGGTTTCACCGTGTTAGCCAGGATGGTCTGGATCTCCTGACCTCGTGATCCGCCCGTCCCGGCCTCCCAAAGTGCTGGGATTACAGGCTTGAGCCACCGCGCCCGGCCACTCTTTTTTTTAGTAGAGACAGGGTATCACCATATTGGCCAGGCTGGTCTCGAACTCCTGACCTCAGGTGATCTACCCGCTTTGGCCTCCCAAAGTACCATTGTACTTTTGTGATTTGTATTGTAATTTTGTGATTTAATGAAATATTGCATAAACTGATGTAATATGAGTGCTAAACAAAGAATGA